GAGACTATTCATAGTTAGAGGTGAAGATTGCAAACCAGCACCTTGTCCGTGGGATCGAGACTTTCAGAGAACCTATGTTCATAGCAGGTCAGATGCTGCAACACCACCTTCCCAAGCACATGTTTTCTCAGATGTAGGAGCTGAAATACCAAACACCTTGTTTGATTTTAATAATTTAATGAGATGATGTAGAAAATTGACACAGGGTCTGGGACACAGAGGTGCTCAATATTTTGTAACTTTCATGGGAAGAATAAGGGTCCCCAAACATGTCCATAATCCTGAGTCCTAGAGCCCATGGCTACATTATTCTGCTTCCCAGAGCTCATGGCCACGTGACTCTGACTCCCAGAGCCCATGACTATGTTACTCTAAGTTCAGGAAATTTGTAACTCTTTTTCATCAGAACTCAGAGACTAAAGAATGTGTCATAAAAATCCTGTTAACTAATAATTTATGTTCATCAATGATAAGGAGTATAAGACATTATGCAGTCATGAAAAGAGAATTGCAAATTACATATTGCAGTTCTCCCAAAGTCATATCTGATCAGACCTTTCCCTAGCTGTTGCTGTGCCTCATGTTATGAAATATTTGTGCAAATCCAGACTCATATGTAGTGGGTCCTGCCTCTGTGGCAGATAGTGGCTGATGATTAAGGGAAACATAAAGAAGCAGAGGAGTTAACTTTGGGATCTCAGGGGCTTCCAGGTCAACTAGGAATAAGATGTCCTAGAAGGAAAGACCTAGATGGTCTGACAGGGCAGGGTCCACTGGAGCACTCTAGGACTCAGCTGAAGAACAGATGACAGGAGGCACTAATGAAAGTATGTCCTGGACACGTCCTATTTCTTCTCCCTCTCACTCCTGCACAAAACCCTAAGAGGGGACAGTTCTGCTCTGTCCACACTGTGCACGGTAGGGTGTTGAAACTGAAAGATTATATAAACACTTAACATTCCCGGGATGGGAGGTCCGGTATTAGGCTCAGGCTGGGAAGGGACGTCGCAGTCCATGTCCTTCAGCACTGCACCAGCTGCATTTCATCTACATCAGAGATGGGGAACTTCTAGCCTGCAGGCCATATAAGGCCCGTGAAATCATGTGGTCTGGCCCTGCCAAGGCATTAGGGGTAAGTTAATGAAATGTTTGACCAAATGTAGCAGACTAAGTTTTAAGTTGACAATTTTGTATAGCCCACAAATAATGTTATAAATATGCAAATGGCCCTTGGTAGAAAAAAGGTTCCCCACCCCTGATCTATATACTTAGAATAGTTCCTCTTTGGAATTCCAAAAATATCAAAGTGGTTTATTTTGATTGTTACCAGAAAGTTTCAACAATTATCCAGATTTAACAGACAAACCAATCACCAATCAACCAAACAAAGCAATCAGTGAAGGATGAGGGGGAGGAGAGGAGGGAAGGCTAAATGAAGGCACATGGTTTTGTTCATGGCGGCGGCTGCTGCCTGGAGGGTGAGGGATACTTACGGGACTTCTTGGTCGTGACATTGACTGGGGGGCTTGAGGGCCCTGTCCCACCCGTGTTGTAAGCTCTGACGGAGGCAAAGTAGATGGTGTTGGCCTTCAGCCCCATGATGGTCTTGGTTGTGATGTTTCCATGGACTCTGACCTTACCAATCATGGGTTCCCTGGAGTCATCTGTCCAGTATAAGACCTGGTCATGGAAACAGAGGGAGGGGTCATGATTTCCCTGCAACCAGCAGGCAGCAGACCAGAGCATAAATGGCAGGATAACTCTCATTAAATGGGGTTATACAATAACAGCAAAATACAATCTACTCTTTATAGGGAACAAATAAAAAATACAAATTCACAATGGAAAATAGAGAACTTGTGGGGTTTTTATTTTGTTTGTGTTTTTAGAGTGCCAAAATAAAATATTTCATGAGATATTTAAAGATGGTCAACTTGGACTGGCCATTAGGTTCAGTGGTTGAGCATCAACCAATGAACAAGAAGGTCACAGTTCAATTCCCAGTCAGGGCACATGCCCAGGTTGCAGTCTTGATCCCCAGTAGGGGGCAGGCAGGAAGCAGCCAATCAATGATTCTCTCTCATCATTGATGTTTCTATCTTTCTTTCTCTCTCCCCCCTCTCTAAAATCAATAAAAATATGTATTTTTAAAAAACTTCTATACTCTTTAAAAAAAAATAAATAAGAATTATCAGCTTGAATAAAGGATATATAAGTCAGACCCAAACAGGATTCATACCATGGATCAGAGACTTCTGGTATGATGCTTTGCTGTTCACATTTCCTCTGGAGTTCTTTGAATAACAGGTTAATTAATAATTCAGCTTATACTGAGCCTTTCCTATGCGTTAGCACAGCTTCAGGCACATTGAAAAAAACAACAGAGAATCAGGTGTGGGACCTGCCTTCAGGCCCCTTACCATCTAGTTAAGAGGTTAGAATATAGAGGCTGTCCCCCAAAACACATGTGCACACTTGAACAGCTGGTAGCTCAATTGATGTTTCTTCCTTTTCAGCCAGACTAAGCTTTGAACAAGGAAATTCATCCTCAAAAGGCACTGGAAGTGTGAAAATGCAGTTGAAGTACACACACTGCCTCTACGATTATTCAAAGTGCGTAGACATTTGGGGGGAACACCCTGCGTGTGTGAAAAGAGAGCCAAGGACTGTTTTCAGGAAGTGGTACAGGAATCAGTGCTCTGAGGATGAGAAGAAAGACCATGTGAGGCACGATGAGAGGATCCCAGAGAAGGGAGACTAGACTGAGCCCAGGGAGGGGAACGGAGCTGGGCTCTGAGGTGGAGGTGAGGCACTCCAGGCCTGGAGGGGCGAGACACCTGCCCTGGGAGTACGCCTTTATGTTTGGACCAGAGGCTTCGTGTGAAAAGAAAAAACAGAAGACTGGGAGGCATGGTGAAAGAGGTTTAGAATTACACTTTTATTCTAACTCCAAAATAAAGTGTGTCACCCAGGAATAAGTCTTATTTCTCTGTAGAAATGAAGGTTTACACAAAAGAAGTGATTTGCCTCACTCTACATAAACGATGTCTATAAATGAGGAGAATCTACGAGTTTTCTTCTCACTTCACTATCTTCACCAAGATGACCTTTCTTTCTTCATATTTTTATTGATTTCAGAGAGGAAGGGAGAGGGAGAAAGAGATAGATCCATGATGGGAATCATGGATCGGCTGCCTCCTGCATGCCCCACACTGGGGATTGAGCCCGTAATTCAGGCATGTGCCCTAATAGGGAATCGAACCATGACCTCCTGGTTTATAGGTAAGACGCTCAACCACTGAGCTATGCCTGCTGGGCAAGATGACCTTCTTCTCAAACCGTGTATTGGCTCTCGGCTCAGAGCACGTGTCCCCTTGAAATTCTTCTAAGATTTAAGATGGGGAGGGGGTTTAGAGGTTCCCTCTCCCTGGAAACCCACAGGACTGCAGTGGGAATAATCAAATGAGGTCACCTCGGATCACCTTTTAAGTGCCACTCTTGGCTGATGTGCCTGATGGAGAGATCATGGCCCCGGACACCACCACCCGCTAATGCTTTGGACACCCACTGCTGTTACGGAGCAGCAGACTGGCCTGGGAGCCTGGAGTGTGAGAGGAGAGGGGACCTCAGTGCTCACCTCGTAGCCCAGCACGCGGCCTGTGATTCTGTTCCAGGCGATGGCCGTCCATGAAACCTCCATCTCAGAAGCAGAGAAACTCTGGGCAGAGGTTCCCCGAGGGGCCAGCTGAGGCTCTGCCGTCGGAGGAAGACACAGCATCATTAGTCGAGGGGTTCATTGGAACAAGGATGCAAAATACACCCAGGGCCTGGCCTGCGTGGCTCACTGGTTGAGCATCGACCTGTGAACCAGGAGGTCATGGTTCAATTCCCGGTTCAACATCATGGATGTTTCTCTCTCCCTCCCTCCCTCTCTAAAAATCAATAAAAACATATTAAAAATAAATATCCCTGGAGCCTCAGAGGACCACCCAGTGCTGGCACCACTTACCGTCCTCCCCGGAGTAGACGATGGACACGGTGCTCAGCGCGGCCCCTTCCCCCTCGCTGTTGTACACACCCACTTTGACCTCGAAGGGAGACAGCGGGGTGATGCTTTCGTTTCTGTACACGAATCTGGATGCCTCCACGGACGGGACTCTCTCCTTGGTCCAGATGGCCGAGCCCACGGGCCGCAGCATGACCAGGTAGCCAAACTCCCCGCCACTCTGCAGTTCCTCCGGGATGGGCTTGGGCAGAAGTGACCACCACTGAGTGTTTGCAGTTAGTTTATGGAGCTCTTAGCGTGTTTACCAAACAGATATTCACCCTGGTTCATGAAGCAGTGAAAAATCAGACTACTTCCATTTGGAATGCCAGTTGGGAAAGTGGTTCCAATGAAAGATGCTCATGCTACTGGGACAAGGCTCAACCAATGGAGCCACACTGCTGGCTACGTGCCTGTATTTCTTTTTATTGACTTCAGAAAGGAAGGGAGAGGGAGAGAGAGAAAAACATCAATGATGAGAGAGAATCATTGATCGGCTGCCTCCTGCACGCCCCCACACTGGGGATTGAGCCTGCAACCCAGGCTGTGCCCTGACCGGGAATCGAACTGTGACCTCCCGGTTCATAGGTCAACGCTCAACCACTGAGCCACGCCAGCTAGGCTTATAGTCATGCTTTATATGAGATCTTCCCCACTGGCAGCTCAAACCTGGATGTATTAGGAAGTATAAATTATGGTAAGACATGAATAAAGGTATTGTTAAAAAAGGAATTAGTAGTTACCACATCCCCCAAATTAGATAATATGTCTAGGTTATTGGAAGCAAAGCAAAAAACACAAACCCCACATTATTTGTCTCTGGAGGAGACAGGAGGGTGTTTATTTCAGGGGATTGTACCTCGATGTTTGTTCACGAGCAGCAATCTGGGGTACCAGCCAAGCTGTCATCAGGAACACAATGGAGGATTCTCGCTGAATTCAGAGTGAATTTGAAAAACCAGGGTGTATGACTTCCCTCACAGCAGCAGTGAGTTAGACCTGACAAGGTCTCTCTCTCCCCAAGTTCTTTTTCAACCCACAGCTCAGACCTGACATGAGGTTCCATCCTTGCCCGAGCACCCAGACCTTTTGACAATTCACAACATCAGGATATTTGTACCCCCGCTGTTTAAACTAAGTTGGTGTTCATGGAACTGAAAGAGTCACTCCATGCCTGCCTTCTGACGCTCAGACTAATACATGTGTCTCCTCCTAAATGCACACATTCCTTAGAGGCCTGGCACCAGCAGGGTTGGGCTTGGTGATGCTAGGATGAATATAAGTGGGGAACTGTGTTCGTGAATCCATGAATGGAGCTCCTGCAATATTCTGCATATCCGATATCCCAAGAAAAACACACACAGGAAATGTCTTTAATTTTCACCACAAACTTTTCCTGTAAAGGGCCAAGTAGTAAATATTTTAAGCATCAGGGGCCATATGGTCTCTCCCAGCAGCGTGAAAGCAGTCATATGTAACACTACAAGAATGGGTACGGTGGTGGGAATTCATTTATGAAAACAGGGAGCAAGCAGATCCGGCCTTGGTTTGTGGAATTTTGCATTTAAAGAGAAAGGACACTGCTGGGCTGGCATGGTTCAGTGGTTGAGCATCGACCTATGAACCAGGAAGTCACGGTTCAATGGTTCAATTCCTGGTCAGGGCAACATGCCAGGGTTGCAGACTCGATCCCCATTGTGGAGCGTGTAGGAGGCAGATCAATGAGTCTCTCTCATCATTGATGCTTCTATCTCCCTCTCCCTCTCCCTCGATATCAATAAATATCTATTTTTTAAAAAGCCAGAGTGCATTTTAATCAGTGCAAAAGGGGCCTATACATTCATACTTAAGAAGAATGACATATAAGCTACTCCGCCTGCTAAGCTTCCATCTGTGTGTGGGAGGGACAGGCTGGAGGGTTGAAAGCAAGGAGAGAAAACCGCTGCTGTCTGAGTCTAACTGACAGACGGTGAAGCCACATCCAGCATCAGATGCTGATGAGCACACCGCCGGCCCTTCCACGTGCACCGAGGGTGCTTTCCTTGCATTTGGAAGAAAACTGTGCTCGCTAAGTCACACCCTCTCCCCGTAGTAGGAATGAGGTGTCTCTAGCCCCTCGCTACATCAGGAGTCTTTCCTGCCCAGGGTTTTTATGGGCCCAGCTTGTTTTTCCCTGTTCTTCCTGGCCAGCTACATCGTTTTCCTTCCAAATAACTCAGCTGGACAAAAAATTACCTCCCAGGTAACGACCAGTTCAGACCGGCTTCCTCCTCCTCCCTGGATGTTGGTTGGAGCCACAATGGGGACTGAAAGCAAGGAGAGAAACATGGCCATGGTTAGGGATGTGTGTCTACCTCCAGAGGGTTGGCGCAAGGGTCTCACCTCCCAGGTGCTCCCGTGGCAGCTGGGAGGGAGCCCAGCATCCTTAATGAACACAAATGATGTTTACTCAGACAAGCTTTGGAGGGGACAGCCTGGTGTCGGAGACATGAGCACCCCAGCTCCAGGATTAATTAACAGGCGAATAACATCATGTATCTGACATTATTATGCATCATCCGCTAATTGGCAAGACGATGTTCCATTCGGATGGAGAGAGTGACACGGTGATTTACTGCCTGATTATGCAGCTGTGCCGGGAACACGTTTCCCAGCCAGATATTAATTAGCCCCCTTTCTTCTTCATAAACACACGAAAGTCGTTTTTCTGTTTGGTTGACATCAGGATGTTTGAACACTTAAAAATAAATTCTTAAATGCTAGATAATTAAATGAATTCCTATTTTATGACCCTGTATTTGAATCACAAGTCGCTGGGTACAGAACAGACCGAGGCTGCCTCGAACTTCTCGCCCCCAAAATGCCACTGATAACAGTGGTGAGTGTGTGAGTATTCTGGTATGTAATCAAAATGGAGTTTGACTTTTACATGCAGACATGTTTTAAAAATCCTTTTTCCTGAAATGATGACAGAAGCACCCGAACTCTGTGAAGATGCGTAACTTGGCTGGACAAGCTTCTCATGAGACAGGCAGAAACCCATCTGCAGCTACGATTCTGCAGATTCTCTGTTGGTTCTGAAAGTCTCGGAAACGAGAGGGCAGCTTCAGAAAAACTCTCCTCTGACCTGTCTGCCACAACATCACCATCTCCTACTGGGCGCACGCGCCCTTGGGAGAAAATGCACGTGCTTTGTGCCCATGACCATGGGGGCGTGAGGCTGGTTCTCTGCCTCTGGTGGGGGCAGGGATGCTGTGCTGTGTTTTCTGTGAGAACTGTGCCCTCCAGGGTCTCCCAGGGTTTGAGAAGCCATTGATTTCTTACCGGACGCTTTAGTTCTCAGCAATTCGGATGCTTTGCTTGGCTCTCCAATCCCTATGCTGTTCCCAGCAAGGACACGAAACTCGTACTCCACCCAGGGAATCAGGCCCACCACGGTCGCATTGTATGTCTGACCGTTGAGAATCTCTGGAACTAAAACAAAGGGGACACTGGGTAAAAACGGTCCATCGATCCATCAAACAACACACCATTGGTTTTGCCAGATTATCCAAAACACGCGAGGCACTTACCTGTGGAGACAGCCTGCCACCCCACAGAAAACGGCGTCCGTGCCTGGATGGTGAATATCTGGATGGGGCTGTTATTGTCCGAGCCAGGCCGCCAGCTGAGCTGGGACGTGGTGCTGGAAATGTGTTCCACCCTCACCTCCTCGGGGGGACCTGGGGGGCCTTCAAGCACAGGTTTTATGGTCACCTTATTGGAAATGATGGAATGAGTCGATCTGGGATAAGGAATCGTTTCTTTTTTTCTGTTATACTTACAAAATAAAAGATGGAACCTAATATATTTTAGCACATTAGATAAAGCCCTATTAATTCAGCTTACACAGTGAGAGATTAGCTTGAAATGCTCCCTTTGAAGATTAGGAAATGCCAGCCATGGGGTAGGGGAATATCATCTGATAAGAAGCTGATCTCAAACGGTGAGAGCCTCTTGGGCCGCTCCTCTCAAAAGCTCCCTCAAGTGAATGCAGCTCTCGGGGAGAAGTTGGGAACTCAGGCTTGGACCCCGCTCTACGAGACAGTGTAATATAGATAGAGGACCTGCCGAGACCAAGGGGCTGACGGTGCGGGCAAGTCTGACCGTTCCTTAGGAACAGGTAAAACCTACTCAATGCAACATCCATTGTTATACCACCCAGACCCTGGGGTCTTGGGATTTAGAAAATTAGAAAAATGTATACTTCCACCCAGTTGGTATGGCTCAGTGGTTGAGCATTGACCTAGGAACCTGGAGGTCATGGTTCGATTCCCTGTCAGGCACGTGCCCAAGTTGTGGGCTCAATCCCCAGTAGGGGGTGTGCAGGAAGCACCTGATCAATGATTCTCTCATCATTGATGTTTCTCTAAACTCTCCCTTCCTTTCTGAAGTTAATAAAAATATATTTTTTAAAATGTTGCCTATTTATCTCACTTCTTTATCATGATGTGGTCAATTAAGGACTTGGCCATTTACAGATGAACATTCCTCACTGACTAGACAGTGTGCTCATGTATGTCACGCACCTCTGACAATGATTTCAGCCACAGCCGACAAGTTCTCTAGGGCTGTTGTCACTGCACAGAGATATCTCCCTGAGTGACTTAACTGGATATTCCTTATCATCAAGTCTCCCACAGATCCCTGCAGGCAGAAAGGGAAAAAGGGGTAAAAACATAAATAGGCCCAGCCGGTCCCAAGATTTCACAGCTGCATCAACATCCAATATGGGGCCGCAGTGAAACTGGGAGATACACTAGTATCACTCGTTTCCCATATGATCCCTGTGACTGTGTCCTTTGTCATAATTGTCTCTAGAATGCAAGCAAGTTCATGAAAGACATAAAACAAAGTAAAACACACACAGATGCAGCTTTATGGAGAGACAGTGATTACCGCGCAAATAATACTAGGGGAGTCACAACAAAAGACGTTAAATCAGGGAAAAGGCTTGAGTCAACTTATTAAGCACTTAGAATTGTCAGCAACTTACTCCTCCAATCCTTTCAAAATGAGCCGCATCCTTTTTTAAGTCTATGATGTGTCCATTGAAAGACCAAACAAATGCGACCTCCATGGAGGGGTCATGGGACACCTGGCAGGTCAGGACGATGCTCTCGCCCACGGTGACGTCCATTGGGGAAGGTGGCTCCGTGATAATGGTCCGTTCTGTGAAGAAAGAACTTTGCTCTCATAAAAGCTCATCAGGTACTGGCATGTGGCTATGAGACACATCCTCTGAGTGGCTTTGCAGTTGTCTGAAATCTTATACATACAACTCGGAGTTCTGCTCTTTTCAAGATGAAAAATTCCACCCCCTTTTTAATGTCTCACATTAACCAGTTTAGCTTACTTAGTAATCGTGTAATAAAATTAAATACACAGTTTTTTGTTTGTTTTTCAAAATATATTTTTAGTGATTTCAGAGAGGAAGGGAGAGGGAGAGAGAAACATCAGTGATGAGAAAGAATCATTGATTGACCACCTCCTGCATGCTCCACACTGGGGATGAAGTCACAACTTGGGTGTGTGCCCTAACCAGGAATGGAACGATGACCTCCTGGTTCATAGGTCAATGCTCAACCAGTGAGCAACACTGGCCTGGCTAAAGACAGTTTTATTCATAGTTTATATGAAAACTAGTGGCCTGGTGCACAAAATTCGTGCAGGGGAGGGCGGGGTGTCCCTCAGCCCAGCCTGCACCCTCTCCAATCTGAGACCCGTCAGAGGATGTCTGACTGCTGGTTCAAGGATTGGGCTTAAACTGCAGTTGGACATCCCTCTTGCAATCCAGGACCGCTGGCTCCTAACTGCTCAACTGCCTGCCTTCCTGATCACCCCTAACCACTCTGCCTGCCAGCCTTCTTAACCCCAACTGCCCCCCCCACTGGCCTGATCACCCCCAGCTGGCCTCCCTTCCTGGCCTGATCACCCCTAACTGCCTCTGCCTCGGCCCTGCCACCGTGGCTTTGTCCAGAAGGATGTCCAGAAGTTCTCCCGGAAGGTCTCCTGGTCTAATTAGCATATTACCCTTTTATTAGTATAGATAGAGGCCTAGTGCATGGGTGGGGGCTGGCCGGTCTTCCCTAAAGGGGGTCCCAGATCAGGGTGGGGTTCCCCTTGGGGGCGGGGCCAACCTGGGCAAATGGCCTGGGGCAGTTTGCAGGCTGGCCACACCCCTGTCAGGGCGGGGGTCCCCACTGAGGGGCATGGCCAGCCTGGCAAGGGGCTGAGGGCCGTTTTGGGCCAGTTTGCAGATGGGTCAAGCCCCCAGCTTTGTTGGGAAGGACGTCCGGAAGGTCTCTGGAAGTCTCCTGGTCTAATTAGCATATTACCCTTTTATTAGTATAGATAGCTTATAGAAAAAACAAACACTGTGGACTTCTAAAGATAGCATTCCGTACCCGAAGGAGGCACCACACCATTTTTTCCCTGAAATTCCAGCCGCAACATTACAGTCACACAGTGGCTCCAGCTCCCAGTGGTCTATGGTGCTCCCATGTACAATGACTCGAACCATGTCACTGAGATCCTAACAACAGTATTTCAGAGTGATGTATAGTCAGACGTCTACACTTTTGAGTGTGAACAGAACAGATTGTACTTCTCACACCATTGTGATGATAATGTTCCATTTTCACTGAAGATGCAATGGAAAACGTCCCTTGTTATCCGGATTTGCAACATTAGAATCATACACCGGTCATTACCAATCTTCCCTCTAGAAATACTGGCCCCAATGTCAATACCTGTTCCACTGACCAAAGTATCAAAAGAAGAGTCTTCCGTGTCCCAGCCAGGCTCCCGGTCCTGCTATTTCTCTGATTTAGGGACTCCTAGTGACAGATCATTTCTGTCTACAAGGGTTCGCTCCACGGCCACGCCCACTCCAGCCAGAATTCGCAGGGCACCATACGCTGCCCAGGCCAAGCCCCCAGAGAACAGGAGTGGGAGTGGTTCTCAGCAGCGGAAACACAATCTTTGATGCTACAAACTTGGACCTAAATTGGTGGCTGCCCACCTTTCTGATGGGTATCTAGAAATTCCTTATACTATTTCCTTGACTTTTCTGTGTTTGTTAATTTTCAGTAGCAACAAAAGAAAGACAGAAAAAAATGATTGGAGGGGGGATGGAGTAATATGTATTATTCAGAATAGAGGGACACCTTTCCCATTCAGCTTTTAAAGTGATGAGGATGGCCCAGTGGTTGAGCATCCAACCAGGAACCATTCCCCGTCAGGACTCATGCCCAATTTGTGGGCTCGATCCCCAGTAGGGGGCGTGCAGGAGGCAGCCAATGGATGATTCTCTCTGATCGATGTTTCTAACTCTCCCTCTCCCATCCTCTCTAAAATTAATAAATAAATAAATACAGTGATGAGGACTGATCACTTTTAGAAGATTATCCAAAATACAAATGACAATACTCATGAAGGGTTCATAAAGTGATAGAATTTTAATAGTTACTATTTTCCATCTATTTCTGTGAGATGACAATCATATAAAAGCTACTTGATCTAACAGTCCTATTCTTAAGAAGAATAAGAGGTTTCGTAAAATAGATGCCACCTTCCATGAACAGCTTTACTGTTTACTCAGATCCTCACCGTTAATAGAGTCTGATATGTCCAGAGCACCCCAGGAGACATGCAAACTAATTATTCCAAAACTTCTGTCAGAATTGTTTAGCCTTATTTCTTTAAACATAGGTAGAGCTTGTGCCTATACTAATGGCCAAACACACTTTAACACACATCAGGATCCCCAACGATATTTTCAGAAGCCAGGGGATGCCAATCCAATGTGCAATTGGTCTTTCCTGGCCATGCAAGACATACTATTTTTGTTTGTTCTTTTGTACCTTCAGCTCAGTTGAAACCTCCATTTGTGAGTGACAATCTTTCAGTGTCACTGTTCAAAATAATGATGGCTCAGGTGTCTCTGAAGTTATCAACTCCCCTTAAAAGATGGAGAAATGCAGAAGAAAAATCACCGTAACTTTCTCCCTCGGCTCAGACCTGTGGTTCCGCCTTCATTTGTCTCTGACATTGTAGGAAATGTTGCTAAGATACCAATAGAAAGGCAACGAGTGTATAAATAGCACATCAGACAGGTGACAACATTCCCCAATCTTTTCTCTCATGAGTTAACTTGTGAAAATCAGAAATAAATACTTTTAAAATTTGGTCCCCTTCCTAATTCTTCAGATCTCAAATTGTCCTACCTATAAAATATTAACCCTTCATATCACTCTCAATTTCTTCTTTCATTTATATATTTCACTCTGGGATAATATTCCTTCTAAACCTATGAACAGCATTAGCATTTTGGTGTATATTTGAAAGTGACATATTTTCTTAGGGTTGATGTGTGTGTGTATGAAAGCATTTTTATTTTGTCTTCCTATGGGAGGATACTTCTGCTGGGAATAGAATTCTCACTGGTACTGTTTTTCAGCTCTTTGAAAAGGCCATTCCACTGTCTCCTGGACTCCTTATTGCTGCTGCTACTTCCACTTTCAGGCTTATTGTTGTCCTTTTGAAAATAATGCACGTTTGTATCAGGATGAATTGTCTTTCCTTTGGTTTCATTACTATGTGCTTATCTAAACTTCCCTTTATGTATGTATCCTCAGTGGGGCTTATACAATTTCCTGAGTAGGATGCTTGCTGTCATTTTCAGTTTATTTTTTTAATTATGGCAAATATTGCTTCCAGTATTGCTGATGCCTCGCTTTCTCTCCCACATCTCCACACCTGGAGGAACTGCCATTTCACCTGTATCAGATCCAATCACCACGTCCCACTCGCCCCGTAGGGTCTATTCTTGCTCCATGTTGTGGTCTGGATATTATCTATTCACAATCCTCCTGTTTAGTGATCCTCTTGTTGCTGTGTCTAACCTTGCATTAAGTCACTCTATTTTCTTAATTTCACCTTTTTTATTTTTCAGTTCTGGAACTTCAAATTGATTTGTAATAGATGGCATTTCTCTTCTACTCCTCCTCTTTATTTTCCTCCTCCTCCTCTTCTTTTTCCCACAATCCTCACCTGAGGATTTTTTCCACTAATTTTCAGAGAGTGGAAGGGAGGGAGGAAGGGGAAAGAGAGAGAGAAGCATTGATATGAGAGAGAGTGATTGATTGGTTTCCTTTCACACTCACCCAGGTGGAGGCTGAGCATAGAACCTACAACCCAGGTACATGCCCTTGACCAGGAATTGAACCTGAGAACCTTGGAAGCATGGACCAACGCTCTAACCACTGAAAGGAACCAGCCAGGGTGCATCTCTCTTCTTAAATTCTTCATCATCTCATCTATTTTTTTTACCATATTCATCAAATTGTTTTGAACCCCTTGTCTGATAACATCTGTATTTCTATAAGCTGTTGCTGCTGTTGGATTTGTCTCTGGTTCCACCATTTATTCCTGCCCCAGCTACTCCTGGTAACATTTTATTCAACGCCAGGCCCCATGGGTCGGAATGTAAACATCTTTCTTTTGTTACGTTTTCCAAGTAGATTGACTTTTTTGAAGGGGCAGCTGAAAAAAGAGCTGAATCCAGTCAGGCACTGATTTCAGTGGAGTCTGATAGGCAGTCATGGTGGTGGGTCCCAGCTGGTTTTGTTCTATTTTTATTGCCAGGATGCAGCCCTTCAGGTGTCTCAGTTCACCATTGAGTAGTCAGCAGGCCTCATTCTGCTGGCTTGTTCTGAGCCCCGATTTTTGTCTTTCTCGCACTGTGTGACAACCAACACGTCTGCTTAGGTGTTTTCTGTTTCTATTTGGTTGCTGTATTTCTGATTCATACAACTTAGAAACCAGCCGAATTGTGGATGAGCAAACCCCTGGGAGCTTGGGCTCCCCCACCTGCGCTTTTCTCTTCTCCTGAGGGAGGTCCCACATGCTGCCAACACCTTGGTTATGCTCACGGTTCCTTCATTCTTTCTTTAATTTTTATTGATTCTAGAAACATGTTAGCAGCATTTGTGGATGATCAGTGGTGTGAGGTTGTTGTGATAAAGCTGCTTCAACTGTCGGGACAGAAGTTTCCCCCTCATTAATGTCTAAGGACAGATTGTGTGTGGGGCTGGGAAAATCTAGGCCACGTATTAGTGGGGGGTTAGGGACAGCTGGCACGAATCATTGAAGCAGCTGCGGGAAGATGT